TTTTTTTTTTTACCTAGTAAATAGGAATTCTATTGTGACTAGTAGATCCTAATACACGGGTAGAAACTAGTTATTGTAGGAAGGGTGGATATAGAAAGCTGACTCTGTTTCAGGATAGCTGCTTTGGGGTCAGAACCGAGTAGACTGATAGTAAGCTATCTTTGTACGTCATAGAACTCATTGGTATCGGACACATTGATTTCTGACCCGGCTACGTGTACGACCTCGTTCTTTTCTATCCTCTCAGAGTCTAGTATCGTCGCTATTGAAGCCATTTCCCTGAATAGCCGTTATCGTAACATTACTGGTTAGAGGCAAGATGCGCGATGCGAAGTCAGCTCGTGGATGGGGACCATAGACTTGTTGTAATATTATCTCTGCTCGGTGGTATCGGATTCAATGACAAGGAGGTGGGTGCAGTCCTATCCAGTGAGCTTCTGGTTAGCCAAGATGAAGACAGATATATTTAGGACTTGAGAACATCCAGAATCTGTTGCAGGGCTAGCCTCAGATCCCCCGCGTATACCTTTGAGATAGAGGCTTTCCGACTGGCCCAAGCATTTCTGCGGAAGAGTCAAGAAGTATCATGTAAGTTAGACTACTGTCCAAGAACATAACGAGCAATAATGCCACTCATTCCCCGCCGGGTAGCTGCAGCGACATGCTGCTTGAACTTCAGAAGAACCAGATACATATTAGCCATCTCGGCGAAGCATAAGAGATACCTGACAAGAATGTTTCCTAGTAGTATGTATGTAAGTTAGTATTGGTGGCTATGCTGATTTGTTATTGTCCACTTATCCGGGTGTGTCGCACTTATGGGGCACCCGCATGTGACGTGCTCAGAGATAACTACGACAGTGTCAGAACGGAGCTGGAAAAACAGATCAGTCAAAGTTAGACAAATCCTGATACTGAAGAATATCATACATGTGATTCATTACTATATATGATACTTGATCAGCTCTGCATCTGATTGAAAATTCTCCTCGATAAAGAGATATAAATCCTTACTTCTCGAATACATAAAGATATTCTAAAAACACTGAGATCCTAAAAAAGTAGTCATATGACTGATAATAATTCAGCAAAGCTGATATAGAGTCAGCATTCACTGGTCCGATACTGAATATTGATACACGTGACTGAGAATATCCGATGTCAGGTATTGCTTTGAGCCCAACGCACTAATTTCTGACACCGTCGCAACTGAGACCCCGCACTTATATAATGATATGCTTCGTCGGGGGATCACCAAACCGTCTCGGAGATATTTCCAACACAGTGACGACCATTTTTGCATAAGCCCTAACATTCAAACAGAAGCCCTAGTCGACGTGATTAATACCTATTTTTTTTTTTTTTTTCCCTGGATTACACCTTCAGAACCTTATTTCAAGATCATCACTACTACCAAGACTCTCAACCATGACCGTTAGCCCGAACCGCTCGATCGCCATCATCGGCGTGGGATCGACCATGTCCCGCTCACTTGCCCTTTGGCTCGCAAGTGTTGGATGGAACATTGCCCTCGTGTCTCGCTCTGAGAATAGCCTGTCTAAAATCGCCGACGAGGTCAAAGCCGCCCAGACAAACGCGGACGCCAAAGTGATCTACCGTACCGCTGATGCGGGCAACCCCGACAGCTTGACAAGCACCCTGGATTGGTGTGCCCAGCAGTTTAGTGGCAAGCTGGATGTTTTGAACTACAATGCCGCCCGTGTCGCCCCTTCGCACATCACTTCAGTCACTCCAGAGGAGCTGAACCTCGACCTCCAAGTCTCTGCAGTGGGTACCCTTGTCGCAGGCCAATGGTTCACCCGCAACGCCAACACCGACAATATCCCCAAGGGTGAGTGGCCGCTCTTCTTGGTCACCGGCGGCACGCTCGACAGAGAGCCGCAGATCGCCTGCTCTTCATTGTGTGCTGCCAAGGCCGCATCACAAACTCTCAGCCGTCTCTTTGCCCAGGCGCTTCCACAGGAGGCTCAGATTGTGGTCGGCATGCCGCTGATCCGCGCACGCATTGTTGACCCGGAAACTGGTGGCTACACCGAGGGCTACCATCCCGATACTATCATCCAAACGGTGTTCAAGCCATTCTTTGAGGACCGCGAGAAGCTACAGGGTGGAGTGGACAACTGGACCGTGGAGCGTGTTATGTAATTACAACAGCAACTATGCCGGGATAAGTAAAGTACGGCGATGATTAACGACCATCGGGCAAAGGCATGATTTACTCGAAGTCTGTTCACTGCAAGTCATTTTCTTCACATTTATGGTTTTTAAGAAGTCTCCAAGCGGAAGGACAAAGCATTGGAATTTATGCCTCTTATACTATGCCTCAAATAGTCTATATATACATGTCAGGATCCAGCCTGGTGCATTTCGGGCAGAGAATCCTCTAGATTCAGACTGATAGGCCTCTTCATTTTTTCTCTATGGAGTTATTCGCATTTCGACGCGCTGTTGGAGGCATGATTGGTCGTCAAATTCAGCGAGATTTTCGACCGCGGCCAAAAGATAACGCCGTTACACGGACACCGACCAGACCGTCCCTGAGGCATTAGGCTGCACGCGAAGTCCCCACTACAATATTTAGGTTTATGCCTGCCACAGAAAATGACGCTGCACTTCTTCGAAGTCTGCCTGGTTCTCTCCAGTCAATTCAAAGCCCTCGTCGTGAAAGAATGAATATATGGCATGAGGATCTTCCGAAAATTCGGCTGGCAACGTTACTGGAACGAAGTCTCCTTCAACTGTGTCTGTGATATACGTCCGCATAAGATTCTCATACTGCGAGACCCCAGCCTGATAGGTTTCAGTATTTGCTCGAGGGGTGTACGCACAAACTTCCAATACTTACATTGTTCGATATAGACTGGGGCGTTCTTACAGCTTCGTTTGCCATATCAACAGAGCTGATTCCCTGCATAAAAGACGGTAAGCATTCCTGCAACTTCTGTATCTGGTCCTTCCTCGCCCGAGCAGCATGGTTCTGATAGCTTGCCAGGTAGTCGAGAAGCTGAAGGCCTTCTTTCATGCCGGGGCTGGAGTTGAGAAAAGGAAAATGGCCGGAGTCGCTCGTATCTGCAGAACGGATGATAGCTGCCAGCAGTAGAATAAATGTCGCTGAGAAGATGGCATCGAGGTCAAAAAAGCCGAATACAGCTGCCAAAGTTAGCTCTGCATGTAAGCAATCTCTGGATGCTCCTTACAAATGATTTCCTCATCTACCAAGATTTTCATTAGTTCCAGATTCTTACTCGCGGCTTCTATGCACGTCCGAGCAAGGTGCTGTAGTGCACTGCTGCTTGTGCTGAATGTTGTCTCGCGATCGAATATTAATTTGGCAAGATGAAGAAGAACGGGTCGTAGGGTGAGAATTATTGCCTATGTAGACGGGTCAGCTTACTGAAAAAGGCATAACTATCCCCATTCAATCTAATGAATGATAACCTACTTGATATAGCATTGTGAAGAGGGAGATACTTGTTCGTATCCCCAACTTCGATGGTTTCCGGCTTGACATGTTGGTGCGCAAGGGGTTTTGCGGAATTTCTTTCGCGATTTGGTCAAGCGATGACATGATTTCGCGTACATTGTCGCAAAACATGTTCTCCGAGCAGGATTCGTTACTATAGATGACTATAATCCGATGATTTAGCTTCTGCGCCGACGTTTCAAGCCGGTCATGGACAAACCAGAATATATTCGGCTTTGAATTTGCACAATTTTGATATTCAGTTGAATGGCTAACGGATCACAGTAGCCCGGCGAAGGATTCGGGAGAGGAGAAGCAATCATTTTATCGTCGAGGCTCAACGGGCATCCAGTAGCTATAGTGAGACGTTTATCGTGCATCTGAACAGTCCACCAGATACGGTTCGCATGTGTCGCTTGTGATGGATGTAGTTGGTCGAGCGTAGACTTTCGATATAGCTTGTGCAGGAGAGCCAATCGGAAAGCAAGGCCAATCTACCTCAGATTAGTTTGGATAGTCGATTGAATGGAGGTAGTACGTGTCTCGCACATGTGAAGCAGCGTCGTCCTTCCGATCAATATTTTGGTAATACACTGCTATGAGTGCCAAAATCTCAATTCCGGCGACACCATGGGCCCGTAGTTCGCTAATGTTAGGCAATAATTTTAAAGCCTCTTTGAATAGGGCAAAGCCCGGTGGGCCTGTCGTCCCATCCAACTCTCCTCGCAGAAGTTCTCCAATTGCAAACACTAAGAGAATGTGGAGATACCAGATGCTGGTTCTTTGTATCTCGTCGAAGCTGTTTCTGTAGAATACCATCAGTTGGTCTGAGAGGTCTCGGGCATCGAAGAAATGCTGGGCATCGCCAAGGTATAGAAGAACCGTGTCCAGAAGTTGATACGCTTTCTCCACAGAAGGAAACCTCAGGTTAGCAGCCGTGCTTGTCTCTTGACCCTGGCGTGGTTTGAGTGGAATACGCCGCTCTGGGAATAGTCCTTCTGTAATTGGAATGAACCGTGGAGCTCGCCCATGAGGCGTGCACTGATTTCGTGAACGGTCATTATTTTGCCGCTCAAGATCCTGTACCCGGCTCCCGAAGTTCTGGCTCGATCCAAGGGTAAAATGGGTTTCCATTTGATGTGGAGGAAGCTCGGTTCTCGATGTCATGTTAGACACAGATGATGCCACCGGTGTTCGTATTACTTCATTTACTGGCGCATTGAAACGCAGTGCTGTATCCACATTCTCTGTTTGGGTCTTGTCTGACGCTGATATTGCCGTTGACCTCTTATCTACACGCCCGACATCGTGGGCCTGACGCTCGTACAAGGCGAGGCGTGCCTGAAGTTCTCGGACCTTCCTGTGCATGGTATGTTAGGAGTTCTGTAAATAACCAATGAATGTTACTTTGGGAAAGCCTACGCCTCGGAGATCAGCCGCCTATCTTCTACCACTGGGAAGGTGCATTCCAACTCTCGACGTGTGCAATAAACGCATGGATATTGACCAGAACATTTGACCTTCTTCTTTCTACATGTGTTACATCTATAGACCCATTTAGTTAGACATACGAAATCTAAGTTATATAAACGCACGCTGATACAGCCTTTGGCTTCTCTTTGCTGCTCGTCCGCGTAGATGAAGACTCTGCGCCGGGTTGGGACATTATTCCACGCAAGGCACGAGTCACGATATCCAACGCGGCATCCGACTCCAATAATCTGTCAACGCCTGATCGGATCACCCCGTCGAATGAACGTCGGGCCGGATTTATTGTTATGGCTGTGGACCAACTGAGAAAGGACAGATACTGCAAAGAGAATCGGGACAATGGGTAAGTGTTGTTTGCCTCCGTCGAGCGTCGGAGACCTCGTCCGAAAGGTGGGGTTCAATGTGGGGACTCATCGGGGGTCTCCGAGACGCCCCGGGGCCTTCGACGGTCACCCGCCCAGGTTGGCCATCCATGTAATGCCATAACAAAACTTGTATTTGTTCCTATATTCATAGAATTCCACTACTAGGTGTTTTTGTAGTATAATATAAAGGGCAAAGATAATAAATATAGTAAATGATATCATCAGTGTCCTCCCCCATTCCTAAAGCGCGTTAATCGGGACGAGAACACTATATGAACTTTCTAGATATTGATTGACCATGTTTTACAACCCCCTCGCAATCACTACATCTTCTCTGGGCCTCCACCCCTCCCACAGTCTACCAGACAAGATCCGAGCTGCAGCGTCCGCCTCGATTTCTGCAATTGAAATAGTCTACCAAGAGCTCGAAGACTACGCGCTCTCGCAGACTCCACCCGTGAGCGTACACGATGCTGCTAGAACCATCTCCCATCTATGTTTGTCCGCGAACCTTAGTGTATTATCCTTGAGCCCCTTCAAAAACTTTGAGGGACATAGCTCGCCCCTAGAAGAGCGACTCGATCGTGCGCGGAATTGGCTCGAAATCGCCGCCTGCTTGAAGGCCAAGTACCTGCAAGTGCCCTCCCAGTTTGATACCGGAAACAGCTCGGGAGATTGGACTCGGATGGTGGGAGATCTTCAGGCGCTCAGTAACTTAGCGGCTTTGTACTCCGTTGGCATTGCCTACGAGGCTGTGGCTTGGGGTACCTATATCGATACTTGGGAGGAATCGCTCCGGATGGTCCAAGACGTGAACCGCGAAAATTTTGGTCTTTGTCTGGATTCTTTTCATGTGGCTGCTCGGGTGTGGGGAGACAATACGGTCGAGAGTGGTATTCGCGAAGATGCCGATTTGGCTCTGCGGAAATCGCTTGATAGATTTGTTGAGACTTGCGCGTTGGACAAGATATTCTATGTACAGCTTTCTGATGGAGAGAAATTTGTCCCTTCATTGGGACCGGGACACTGCTTTTATCAGGAAGAATTTCCCCCTGCTTTGTCTTGGTCACGCAACATGCGCCCGTTCCCCCTTGAGGAGGAGCTAGGGGCTTACTTTCCTGTTGCAGTGATCGCTCACGCGTGGCTGAATAGGAAAGGGTGGAAAGGTGTGGTTTCGATTGAAATATTTGACTGGCGAATGAGGGATGAATCGAGGCGTCCGAGTGACAATGTCAAACGGGCCGTAGAGTCTATGCGAAAGCTGACATTCGTTTTGGAAAGTACCACTTACTAGAGTGATAACAATAGGTGTTGTTTCCTTGGAAGACATGCGGGCAAGTGAGATATTTTTTGGCCATCTAGGTGCTTCTATCTAAGTGACTTTCTGTTACAAACAAAAACAACATTTGTGTCATAAAGCATACTATCTCTTCCATTTCCTAAAACATCACAATACCACCGTCGACCTTCAAGGTTCCCCCTGTCATGAACCGAGCATCCGCACTCCCCAGGAACGATACCAACGCCGCAACATCTGCAACCTCCGCCCATCGACCAAGAGGAACAGTAGCCAGCATACTTTTCATCTTCTCCTCGGGCCACGAAGCGAGAAACATAGGTGTATTGACACCGCACGGATGGACCGTGTTAACACGAATGTTATACTGGCCCAGCTCAGCAGCTGCGGTGATGCATAGACCGCGAAGAGCAAACTTGGAAGTAGAATATGCTGATAGACCGGGTGTTGCGTGAAGTCCAGCAATTGAAGAGACCAGGATAATACTGCCTCCGTTGCCGGAGTCTCGCATTGCCCGTCCGCAGTGTTTAACGCCTAGGAAGGCTATACAAAATACATAAACTTAGCTGCTCATTCTAAACGTTTCAAACTAATTTTAAGAGAAGTACTCACCAGACCGACAATTCACTTGCATCACCTTATCATATTGTTCAACATCAGTATCCAGAATACTCGTCGACGAGTATGATATGCCCGCACAAAGAAGCGCAACATCGAGCTTCCCGAATTTGCGAATAGTCTCGTTAACATATCGCTCAACGTCTCGTTCAGATGTTACATCCGCTTGAACGGTAAGAATCAAATCGTTCGCTTTTAGGCTCTTCCCATCTGGCAAACCTGCGATCGCTTTTATCAGCTCTTCTTTTGACTGGGCGAGTCCCTGTGAGTTGATGTCGACCAGCACAACTTTGGCGCCTTCTAAAAGATATCGCCGAGCAGATTCCAGGCCGATGTTCCCTGCAGCTCCGGTTATGAGGGCTACTAGGCCATGTAGGCGGTTTGGAATAGGTTCCTGAGGAGATAGAGATCGGGGCATGGTGGAATCCATGTTCGGCAGGTTCGACAGTACAGATATTAATTGAGCTCTATGACAGATCGTGAAGATCTTCTTTTCGATGAATTTTCTTTCTCTCACTCAAATTATAGAGTTATCTAATAACATTCAGGAGGGACTTGGCGAGCCACTCCTTCGAGTCAGATAATGCAGGAAGTCCGTGGTGAGGGGAAGTTCGGAGGAGTGCCCGAAACGTCTACTTTTTTGGAGCAGCTTCGGAGCCGTTACCGGCGTTGTGTCATGGGGCATTGTCGCCGGGAGGATAGCCACCGCCAGCCCCGCAAGGAAAATATGAAACGAAAGCATATCGTAGGGCTTGCTCGAGTATGGCTTGCTGGAAAGAACCAGACACTGATACGGACTTCCCGGTGCGAACATATGCAGGGAAATTGGAGCAGAAAGATAGCTACTGGAAGAGTTGACGACAATTGAATTCATAAACATATTGAAGTATTTTGGTAGATATATCCCTTCATTGCTGACGGCTTTCCACATGAGTACATCTTTCTTCACTATTCGAAGTATAGAGATTGACTTTCCTTCACACACTCTCCACATGGGTAGAACTAGTCTGCTTCTCCAACCGAACTTCAGCAGCCACCGTCGACTCCGCCTGTCGAAACTCTAGATAATTCTTTCGGGCCTTCGTAGCAAGGACACTAACATCTGCCCCAAACAAGATGCCCATATCCTCCAACGGAACCCCCTTAGTCTCCGGAACAAACAAGTACGCAACAACCAAAGCAACGATAGTACATGCTCCAAAAAAATAGAACGTGCCGTATTTGATAGAGGCAATCATGTAAGGCAGCGAGTAGACAATAATGAATTGGGCCAACCACTGCATGCAAACCGCACACATCATTCCGATGGTTCGCACGCGAGTTGGAAGGACTTCCGATGCAAATATCCAAGGAATGCCGTTCCAGGAGAAGCCGTAGAAAATTGCATAAATGTAGATCATTGCGACAGCCGTTCGTGAGCCAGAGTCGCTGGGTGGAACGTGGTCGAAGGATTGACTTAGCTGGGAATATATGGCTAGGTAAAACATCGCCACTGCTGCACCGATTGCACCAACTAGTAAGGGACCGCGACGTCCGAACCGATCCACGATCCAGATCATGAATACCATTGTTGTGCACATTTTTACTAGGCCATAGACTCCGGTCGCTAGGAGTCCGACGGACGTTCCGGTGAACCCAATCTAAAACGAGTAAAACGTCAGCGTCTTTCCCTAACATTAGAGTCGCCGTCGGAATTTTGTCTCCTACCGAGCGAAAGATAGTTGGACTGTAGTAGTTGATGGAATTGATCCTGGAGGAAAAGTCAGACCCTGTTACAGAATATCGTAAGGAGATAATGACTATACCCAGTAAGGTTTTGTAGCAGCATCAGCATCACTCCAATCAAGATTCGATTCCGGACACCGGGGGCAGTACATTCACGCACAATGTGTGACAGTGTCCGTCTTCCACCACTCATCTCAAGTTCTTGGTTGACAGCAGCCTGAATCTCGGCCAACTCATTGACCACGTAGGGGTGGTCGAACGGAAGATTGCGAACCCAAGCGAAGTTTTTCTGTGCTGGGACGATTCGATTCTTGCTAGCCAGCCAACGTGGGCTTTCTATCATCCATGACATGCAGATCAATAGCAGCCCAGCTGGAATCATCTGGACGCCGACGGGAATTCTCCATTGGGCAGCAGTTGTGCTCGGTATATTCTTGTCGACGCCGTAGTTTACCCAGAATCCGAAGACAAGAGCCACCTGTAGCATGATCTCGAAGCAACCGACGAGACGCCCACGGACGAGGGCTGGAGAACATTCGGCAATGTAAACGGGAATCATGGTGGAAGATGCTCTTTAAAAAGGTTGGCCGTCAACCTCAGACCTAAGTAAGGATGGGAGATGCTGGCTTACCCGACTCCTAGTCCTGTCAACACCCGTCCGGCGTAGAGCTCAGCAATACGTCCTACGAGTTGGAGGCCTGTTCCGATGGTAAAAATAATGCCTGATCCGAGAATGACGGGCTTCCTACCAAAATACTCGGCGAAGAAGAACCCAAAAATGGCACCGAAGAATGCACCCGCTTGGAACATCGACACTACATTGGATGAGAGAGTGGTTGAGTTATTACCATCTATACCAAAAGACGTCTTAA